TTTTTTTTTTTTTTTTTTTTTTTTTCCCCTGGGTCCGCGTTCGGCCCGAATGGCCGAACGCCTTCCGAAGGGGTCCTGTACGTTCGGGCGTTCGGGTTCGGGCGTTCGGCCCATCCCGAACGCCGGCAACCCTGGTTGGTGCCCACCTCAGGGCATCAGTTGTCGGGCAGTCGTTGATGCTTAACCACAGCCGGGGTTACGGTGGATTATCAATTACAGTGTAATCAGTTAGGGGATTCTCCAGACTGTTGAGGGTTCAGCCTCCTGATGAGTGGGTGAAACTCTGCCGAACAGTTTGCCACAGCCCCTCGTTTGTTGTCCTCTTCTCCCTCTCTGCCTATGGTTTACCGGGCAGCTCTGTTTGACTATATATCGTCAAATAGAACTGCCCGGTAAACCGTAGGCAGAGAGGGATATATAGATAGATAGATAGATAGATAGATATCGTCATATATAATGTAGAGTTTTGCATCTGGTGTGGGTGAGTGATAGTCTGCTTTGATTTTCGTCACAGGTACCCGGAGGTTGGTGCCCACCTCTGGGTATCAGTTGTCAGGCAGTCGTTGATGCTTAACCACAGCCGGGCTTCAGGTGGATTATAACTCAGCTAGGGGATTTTGCAGGCTCTCGAGGGTTCGCCTTCTAATGAGTTGGTGAAACTCCGACGAAACAGTTTGTCACAGCCCCTCGTTTGTTGTCCTCTTCTCCCTCCCTCCCTCTCTGCCTACAGTTTACCGGGCAGCTCTGTTTCACTATATATAGTCAAACAGAGCTGCCCGGTAAACCGTAGGCAGAGAGGGAGAAGACGAAAACAAACTAGTGGGAAACTGTTTCGTTGGAGTTTCACCGACTCATCAGGAGGCTAGGCCTTCTAGGCGTGCGTCCAAGTCCATCGAAACCTGCGGGGGTTCACACTCCAAAAGCTGTTTCGTCGGGGTTTCACCAACTCATATACATATCATATTTATATGAGTTGGTGAAACCCCGACGAAACAGCTTTTGGAGTGTGAACCCCCGCAGGTTTCGATGGACTTGGACGCACGCCTAGACTACATATCATATTTATATGAGTCGGTGAAACCCTGACTTTGGAATGTGAACCCCTGCAGGATTCAGTGGACTTGGACGCATGCCTAGAAAGCCTAGAAGGTGGGGCCTTCGACGGACTCCCGGTAGCGGCATGCACTGTCACTGTGTTGTCTACCAAGTTCTCAAGTTAAAAGCGACATACAGGCGTTTTTGTTCTTCGACCAACATATTATCATCCTGAAAAGTGGCCTTCCTTTGTAAATGACCCACCCACTCTCCTGTCCTCTCGTGGTGCATAGTTAGCTTGGCCAAGCCTTTCAAAAAATCGCGCTGCGCCTCCCACTTGGATGTGAAGAAGACCATAAGCACCCAGTGTAATGGCGACAGCGTTTGGCGCAGACCTTACAACTTACAAGGATGGAAAATCATCTTCTTGCCAATCCGAAGTCGCAAAGAAAACGGCGCACAGTATTGCGAATAACCGGGAGTTGCATGTGAGCTTAGGAAGAGGGATGATCGAAAGGAATAAGGCTAGTCACACGGTTCAGCTTGTGCTATCTTGATGTGTCTCGACTCTCAAGGTTCCGCTGACCTGCAATATAGCAATGATCGTTTGCTCCTTACATCTCCAGATCGAGTGGATAAACTTTTCAAACGCCCTCCAGAAATTTCTCGTTCTCGTACAAGCAGTCATTTCATCAAAACGGACATTTTTTATTTTTTGAACGAAATTGAAACCGAATTTTTTGGCAAAAAACTCGTCCAAATTTGCTGCTCCGGAGGGTCCGGCGTTCTTAAAGCGCCGGGCCCCCTGGATGTATGTGGACTTCGTTGAGACCCGATACATCCAGGCTGTCCCCCCTGGATGTATCTGGTCTCAAGCTAAGTGGGGTCCAGTGTTTTAAGAACGCCGGACCCTCAAGAGCAACAAATTTGGACGTCTTTTCGCCGTTTTCGGCCAAAAAAGTCAGTTTCCATTTCAGCATTCTCAGTTTCAGCAACAAGACCATATGCAGGAGGATGGTAGCTGTCCAAGAGGACAACAGAAGACCAGGGCTACACAACGGCAGACAAACAAAGGGCTCATTGCCCCCAGCTGGAACAGGGGCCAGTGGGGGGCAAGGCTCGTCCTTTCTTGCTGCATATACTTTCACAACAGCCCAGCTCCAGCCATTAAGTTCTCCGACATTCTCAGTCTCAGCAATAGGACCACTTGCAGGAGGGCGGTAGTTGTCCACAATGAGAACAGAGGACCAAGGCTCCACAAGCATAACTCCCCCACGCCTTGGGGGGACAGGCGATAGGCAACATTAAGGATAGGAAGTCCTGAGTACATGAGTCAAGATGTCTGATCACTGTCAGTCACGGAAATGTCCTGTAATATGCGGGACGCTGGACCCAGTTTCGAGCCGGTGCTAATCCCCACCAATAGATTGAGCCTTCAACCGCGGAGCTACTTAGGGAGC